GGATGATTGGTGGCTACCGGCGGTGGGAGGCGAGGTACGTGGGGAACAGGGGCAGTGATCGGCGAGTCGAGGGTGTACCATTCCGCAGTGATGATGTAACCGGACGGTGTGGATGAACGAGTGCATCGTTTGCCAGTGGAATTCCACTGAGGTAGTTCATCAGAAAGAGACATGACGTCGCGCGAACAAATTTGTCTCTGCGTGGCGAAAGTTTGTATCTTTCAAGTGTCTGGTATACAGTTGAGTTCCCTGCCAAGGAAAACCTCAAATCCTGCTGGCAAGCCATACTTATGAGCTGACTTGGCTTTCTTGCCTGATAATGTAAACATAACAACACATCCATGGCATGCTTCAAGAAAGAGAGGCACAGTAGTGCCATGCCACTTGCCAGATGGTGAGTGGAGGCGTTCGGCGGCCGCCAGGTTCGCTGTCCGAATGGTATCGGCATGGGCCTTAGCATGAGACCACAATGCAATAGGCTGAAGGGAATCGATGAGAAGCAAGGTAGTGAGCTCATTAAGGATGCGGTGAGGGCTTTCGGCCTTGCCGTTGAGCTGAGGTGTGTTGGCCGGTGACTTTTGGAGAATCAGGCCTCGAGAGAGTAGCATGTCCCGGGTGGATTGGCTTTGAAATACACTAGCGCCATCCGCGAACATCGTGTGCGGACGATAGTGTGCCGGCACCTGTACCAAGAGAGCTAAAAGTGCTTTTGTCATATCCGCTTTGTCGGGGAGGACCGAATGTAATCCATAGCGCGTGCCATCACAAAACATGTTAAGAATGTACCGATTCCCATAACGATCCTTGGGTAGTGGACCCTGCAAATCAACGTGAAATTGCTCTGCAGGGCCGTACACAGAATTGGAAACAGCATGTTTAATTGGTTTGCTCTTTAATTTTCCCTCTTGGCACACAGGGTAGTGCTCTGAAAACTCTGGATTGGCACGGGCATATATAATAGCAGTTTGAAGATTATGGTTGGGGGCAATAGCAGAGCGTAGGGGGCCAACAAGTGAAACCAATGTGTAAACCCACATGGGTTTGCCAACGGCAGCCTGGCCATGCCGAAGGAATGTGGTAGCGGTATTGTGTATGATATATACATCATGCTGAATACGCGATATGAAGAGCGACCACCACGGGGCACAGGGACACAACGGAACGCAGATGGCGAGGATGGTACCGAGGCGGATGTTCAAACGAAGGAGATCGGATATGTGAGACCAGCGCGGATTACTGTAGGCGCGTTTGTTGAGATAATCAACCTTGGCGAAACAACTTACGATGCCCTCCTCCGGCCCAACAAAGCGAGGAACTTGTGCGTTAGACGAAGAGGCACAGACATCGATTGTAGGACTGTAGTCGAGCAAGGACATGGTCTTCTTCCAATCGTCACGGTTGAGCATCCATATAAACCGTTATGGACTTTAATAGCTAAAGTAAATTGACTATTAAATTAAAACGCAAGAGACTAAAAGTAAGTTAGCTTACAAGTCCGGTTGTTAATACTTGTTACTCTCAAGTAACAAGTAAAAGACTGAGGCCTTAGTCAGAGGGCACCCGACTTTTATAGGCCGCCGAGTCTCAGCCATCATTGATATTTTATTAAGGATTTCTAAAAATCTAATAAAGATTCAATTCTTTTAGTTAAACGGACGGTTAGCACTTTTGGCGCCTTTTTAACATCACTTAAGAAATATTAATTTCTAATAATAGAATCATCCAATTAAAATTCTTAGAACTGAATTTAAATAGCCACTTAAGAAAAATCAAAATCAAATAAATAAAAAGAGACAGTCCGTCCCCAGGTTGGTGTGAAAAGGCCCTATTACGGGTCGGCCTGAGGTTGGTGTTAATAATAATTAAATATTTTAAGAGTTGTAAAAACTAAGTTTATTAATTACTAGTTTGTAAAAACCTTAGTTTATTTTCTAAAAGAGTAAACCTAAATAACCTTCAACCTTTATACTATGAGCCACATCGTATAGTATTTTATACAGGAAAACTATTTATTATATATAACTCAAATTATATATAATTCATGTATTAGCAATAGTACTTAGTAAAAGCTTTACACAAGACAATGCTAGATTTATTAGCTTAAATAGATAGAAATATATTATATCAATTTTACTCTAGGACCTGCTATGATATCATCCACGCTTCGGTAGTGACCATAAGCGGCGGTGGATGGGTTAGGGTCGGAGGAGAGTGCGGAGGAAGGGGGTGCCGATGAAATATTGGAAATCGGAGGGGGTGACGGGGACGGTGGAGCTGTGTCAACGCGAGTAGGTTCTCGAGCAGGAGGGTCAGCTGGAGTAGGAAGCTCATCATCGACGATTGTGTCAGTATCATTGGGTCGAGCAGCGCAAGCTTGGGCTGGTGGAGACGTTGGTGAAAAGGTGTTAGTGCGAGAGAGATTGTTGGATAGATTTCGTAGCGTGGAGTAAGATACGTGATATCCACCATTTTTAAGGGGAATATGTAGAGATCGTGGAGCATGGGAAAGCTCACAAGTGGGTTCTTTAGGTAGGAAACGTAAACGGAAGCCGTGGTCTCGAAGCCGATTTTGGGCTGTGATGTTAAAATAATTTACCGTGGTCCCGCCATCAATAAGCATATCAGGGCTGGGGCGTATATGTGTGTGATTAATTGTAATTCGTGCCAGAAAGAGATAACATATGTTATTTGTAATCGAACGACGTCCACAACATATATTATTGTGGCCCATCTTATTACAAATGGTGCATTGGAGGAATCCGGCGCGGTCACAACAACCCTTGATGCCACAATAGCCACAACTAATAGGACATTTGGACGAGTGATGAGATTATTTCCAGCAAACGAAATAGTTTTGCACACGATCAGGCCGACGAGCAGGGTCGACGCGACGAGCAGTGGCACGTAATGCACGTTGGGCGGCGGTGAGGTGCTCAGGGTCAGTGTTATGCCACTCATCGAGGAGATCACATAGAACAATAGGAGTCAATGTAGGACGAAGAGCTTTATCATTCATGTATTGTCGGGCCTGCTCTTGGTCGTCCGGAGTGAGACCTGTCAGGTAACAATCATTAATAAATTACTGGTGAATGAAAGACCTTGAAGTTCAGCGTCAGATTGTAATTTCTTACATATAATAGCCCAGGCACGGGAGTCTTCGTCGAAGCCAACTTGAAAATCACGTACATGAGCCATAATGATGGGTTGGGATACTTTGACCGATTTATGGAAATAGGATTGGCGAGTGATGTCGTAGATAGTCCATGGGTCTTTCATCATCGTTTCTGTGCTGAGAGTTTCTCTCGAAGAAGGAGATTGCGAGTGGCCTGCTAAGATCCGATAAGTTTCTTCTGATTGCAAAATTATGTAGTAGTAGCAGCTTCTTTCAATGGTTCATACGGAATAGGCCTAGATCCGGGCTGAAGGACTGGCTTATGAATCTCGCAGTAGTTGAGAATGGGGTTGAGATCCCATTCATAGTTATCGAGTGCAGCAAGGTAGAGGTCGGCATCCCAGCGATCATAATTGTCGCCGGAGAGAGCAAGCCGTGTCCACTTGATACGAGTGAAGCCAGCAGCAGTATCGGCGGAGCTGAGCATTTCGAGAATAAAATAGACAGTGACAAATATAAGCTCATAACCTAATAAAACGACTATTTACTTTCACTTTGAACAACTAAACTTTTATTATACTTTTCTATATTATTTATAAGTTAAAGTGCATACGAGGAGTGATAGGCTGGCCTTTTGGACGTATTCAAGAACAGGGAGGGCGTTCTCTTTGGCGGTGGAAGCTGCGACGCGGAGGTCGCTAAGCCAATCGTCATGGTTGTCGCCGGTAATGGAGAGTTGGGTCCAACGGCTGCGGTGGACTACGGTAGCGGTAGTGACTTCGGACATTATGAATTATTTGTTGTCGGAATATAGGCCCATAACCTAAAAGTCAATATAAATCTTATTTCTGAAGAAGTATCTTTATTATGTTTCAGTGTCAAATATATATAATAATAAAAGTATGTTCTCTGTTTGTATGTAAATGTAAATTGAGGAAATACTCTAAATGTACATGGCCTAAATGTACATACAGATTTACGGGTACGTTTTCTAATTGCCCAATTAAAATCACTAAATGTGATTTTCAATGCCTTTCTCAAACTTTTTAAACAAAAAATTTAAAAGTACATTTAGACTTTTTTTTTAATGTAAATACATTTAGTGACTTTCCAGTGATGCAATTTTTTTTTGATGACGCAACAAAAAAAATTATATATATATATATAAATATCATTTTATCGGGTTCAAAAGGTCAGCGAGTGTGCCAACTGACAACCAACTCACACATCTGCAAAATCTTGTGTATTTAGGACCGGACGTGAGGACCGGACCTAGGGGATTATTTGAGGACCGGACCAGAGGACCGGGTCTAGGGGACTATTGGAGGACCGGACCAGAGGATCGGATCGATTAGTGGAATAGAGAATTTAATGAGATAAAAGTGATGACTCATACGAAGCCATTGAGACGGGTATTTTTACATACCCTGATGGTAAAGAAAGTCTCGTTCCACATAGGCTCGTGATTAATATATATAGCAGGCGCGCCATTCCCAATGGCACTTCTGACTGAGTACACTTATTTCAGACTTAACACTCTTTATTAAGCGTTACTTGGTTTTGACCACATTTTTAAGTGACCGAACTACTGTATTTATTACCTTACGTTCCTCACAGGTTAAGCTAACTAAAATTAATTAGTTATGTAATTTTTTTGTTACACGATGAGTGAAGTTGCTACGTGAACAAGAAAGCCTGTGTTCGATTGTTGAAACGACTGCTTGGAATTTATCTGCAGTTGCCATCGCATACTGATGAGGTGGCGATATAATTATCCTCTAATTTATTACCGGATGAAATACCAAAGCAGAGATCTATACTACGCTAGACCATTTATTATCTAGAGGGCTGTTGATACACGTGCAAAATGCTAAGGAGGTTATTTTGCTATTTCGGCTACTAAGTTAAAAATTTCGGGAATTTTTCGTATATGGGTTGACTCGTCTTAAGGCAATGATACAGTCTAGACGGATACGGACCATACGACTGAGAGGGATTCACGACAAATTTTGTCAGGTACCGACCGGAATATACAAGTTCAGAACTTACTAGCTATACGCATAGGACATCTTCATATTTTTGTCCATCTAGGGCTGAGCCAGTCATCACTGTGCAGGAGCTCGTGGATGAGATTAATTCAGTTAAAATGTATGCTGGTGGCTAAAGGACAACACTACAAGCTAGTATTGAGTAGGCCTGATACAGAGCTGACTTGAAATTCTAAGTCGACGTATGCCGACCATATAAGGTTGATCAGTCAACACTGAAAACAATGTGCAAACGCTCCACCCCTGTCATCGTCGGTGTAGTAGCGTGGCAAATGGTGATCCTGTTGCGAAGCAAAGACATCGACATTATTCTCACCCATAATCCGTTGCGCTTGCTCAAAGTAATCTGGAAAAAGTTGCCAACATTCTGCATATAGTACCTCCGGGTCCTCAGTCTCAACAGTTCCCTCATGAAGCCTAGACCACGCGTCTGGTAGCACGTTCTTTATACCCGGGATGCGCGAGATAGTGAAATTGAAAGGCGCTATGATGTGTTGCGTAATTGCGCTGTGCTGCGTTGAGGGTCTTGCTGAAGAACATTAGGTATTGCTTCTTCCCTTCTATGGTCTGGAACAATGCACCTCCAATACTGTAGTCGCTTGCATCCGTTTCGAGTTGTAAAGGTACTTC